ACACATATTATTGATGTCCTCATTACTTTTTGGTATCAGTTTTAATCTATAAGATGCATCATCACCTCTATCAATTATCCCAAATGTGTTAATAATTAGGGGCGTCAATTTCGGGTCACGGGTCGGGTTTGAGTCAAACTCGGAACTGACCCAGGTTCAAACGGGTCGACCATAACCCTACTCGGATAGGTAAACGGGTAGGACCCGACCCGACGGGTTGCCGGGTTGACCTGACCTGACACGGGAAGGCGGACTGCTTGGCGCGGGGGCACGGATGCGCGGGGCTAGGTCGCGTGGGCTACCTGGAGCGGACACGGGGCAAACGGGGTCGCGGGTAGCCGCATGGGCGCGCGGGCAGCTGGACGGGCTAGGCGAGGGCAGGGGGCGGGCAGGTCCACGGGCAGCTGGGCAGGGGGCGGGCAGGTCCTCGGACAACGAGACAGTCATTTCAAACGGGTTTTCGGGTTGACCCGACAACTCGTCGGGTCAACCCGAACCGGACTCATTTTTTAAACTGGTTGAATCCAGGAACCCAAACCCGACCCGTTTTGAAAACGGGACAAGTCTAACCTGAAAATCCTAGGTCGGATTTCTTGTCAGTGTTAAATATTAACACCCCTAATTAATATGTCTTAGACTCAAAATTTATTTTATCACAGATACTCTATTTAATAGACTTACTTCCATAAACCTAAAATTTCATGCTTTAAATTTAATCATTTGATACTTGGAATCATTATACTTCTTTTTGCATGACATAAGGCTTTGATTATTTTTGTGACTTCTTGATCAGCATGTTGTGGCCCCAACATTTTTTGTTCTCCTACTTTAGTCAAATTTAGAGGCGTCCTACATTTCTTTTATGTATATATTCTATTAATTGTATACTCAAATTTGTATCACACTAGTTGAAACAAATATGAGAATCCAGATAGACTAATTTGGAGCACTAATTTTACCCTGAACAAAATAATCTATTAATGGTGATCTTTTCACCTATTAGAAAAGTGATTATTAGGAAGCATGTCAAGTAGCTAATAAATCCTTTCGGAGGTGTTAGATATCGTAGGAACCATTTATGCTATTGATTAAAGAGTCAGTATTTGACATGATCCGAAAATCTGACCCCAACTCGATCTGGGTCAGATTCAGGTTAGGGATTTCGACTCGTTTATAAAATTGGGTCGGGTTCGGGTTGACCCGGAAACTTGAAATCAACCTAGTTTGACCCATTTTTAATTAATTTAGGAGAGTTTTAAGAGATAGTTATGAAATAAGTAAATGCTATTTCCAAAAAATAATAAATTATGTTGCCCAAATTGAATTAAACTTGGTTTATTTTAAATTGATTGAAGTAAATCTTACCTTAATTTGATTTAGGTTTAAATAAATCGAATTAAATAAATAAAACTTTAGTAAAATGTAACTGAAGTGGATCGGTTTCGGGTTGACCTGGACTCGAAGCAGGTCGAGTTCGTGTTGGGTCGAACAGTGCTGGGTCAGTTTCGAGTTGGACCTGAATCCGACCCGTGATCTGATTTTAATTAACAGCTCTACTTGATGCTAATTCAATTCTCCCAGTTGCATATTTAAAGTTTCATCGACCACTTCTTTATTCTTATGAGAATTGGGGTACAATACACATTACACAGAGAGAGAGAGAGAGAGAGAGAGGATATCCTGCCCAGAATTTGATAAAAATTTTAAAATTTATTTTGTGTTGGATGTAATGCATGGATAATTAAAAGAGTTGATTGATTATTTATATATTATGTGAATCTTAAAAAAAAAATTTAAAACTTTAAAATTCATGTGACAATATTTGGTGAGAATTTTCTTTACCAATTTTTCCAAAACAAAATTCTTGGCAAAATATTTATTTAGTATTGTTAAGACTGATTAATATTGTTATTTAAAATTGAATTTTAACGACATTGCAAAAGTAAAAAAAAAAAAGTTCTAATAACACTGAAAATATACTAAATAAATACTAACTATAATTAATTATAATTTGATCACACTTAATAAAAGTCCTCTTTGGATGGACTCCAAAAAATATGTCTGAAGAACAGTCCATTGACAGCAAATAATATTATAATGAAAAACAGTCCATCAGATTTTAAATTCTTACTGTTACTGTATATTTTTCATCATAATTCCAATTTTTTCGATCGAAACTAAATACTTTGACAAAGGAGTTCTTCGGATAAACTTGAATATTTGAAAGAAATAAAATATTACAATGGAATGATTATTTATTTTTGTTATAATTTTTATTGGAAAATCATTTTCCGACTAAGGTTTTGTTTGTGACGGCTTTCTTACTTCTTTATTAAAGCAGTTTTTTAGTTTATAATTTTAAATTTTGTAGTAATAAGAAGCAATAAAAAAATTGTCCCAAACGAAGCCTAAAATTGTAACATAAACTTGTGACAAATAAAATTTCACATATTTTCATGAAAAAATTTATGTTTTCTTATTTTAATAATATTTGCTCATAAACTTTATTTTTAGAGTGATAGATTGGTTATTTTTTTCAATTAAATTAACATTTGCTTTTTTATAAAAAGAATTATAATCATTCATTTGCCAATGAAAGTAAAAATTAATTATTATTTTTTTTAGTTTCTTTGAATTATTGCTCCCTCTTTTGAAATCACTTTTAGCATATGGCTTAATTAAAAGGCTAAAAAAGGCTCAAATAAAAATTATATTTACTTAGGCATTGTTTGACTTAAAAGTAAAATGAGAGTAAAGTGCATAAGTTTTGAAAGTATTGGTATTTGGTGAGAAGCAAAAGAAATATAAGTAAAATTTTAAAGTATTTAAAGTTCATCTCCTAGTTCAAATTTGATATAATTAAAAAGTATCAAATTTCACTTATTTCTAAATACACAAAATTCTCACATTGCATGCCTCTGCCACCACCGGCCATCACCAATCAGTCATTGCCACAGCCTGCTCCCAACACCATAACTATTGAATGGTGCTTACAGAAGTTGGTCATTGCCGCCACCACCCATCGGCCACAAGTCACACCTATCGCTGGGCTTTGCATATCATTCATTTTACTTAAGATTTAATAAAAAAAAGTAATCATCTACATTTATTTTACACTCAACCAAATAATTTCAAATATACTACATATATATTACATTGTAATCCAATATTTTACTCTGCAATCTTTTTTATCTAACTAAACGGCGCTTTGATTTTAAATTTAAAAATTAGCAATATTAAACTATTTATCCATATGAGTTTTTTTTTTTACTTCCACTTTCATACTCATTTGTCTCACTTTCATAATAAGTTGCTAGTTTATCATTTGTTTCATTCAATTTTATTAAGATTTTATATTCAGTGTATTTGGTTATACTTTAATTGAACTTTATTTTAAATGATGGAAATATATTTGTGAAAACTAATAAAAAAATCATTTGTCTACCTTATTTTCATGCCAATCCATGTAGAAATATACCAAAGGCCTCTCGAGATCCAATTTACAATTAAAATCAAGCATTGCAATGCAATTGCACTTGTATGTTTTTTTATTCCATTTGTAGGAAAATTCATGAACCAAACTGATTTGTAGTGTTGATAAGATTGCAAATATGACAAAAATCCTGTGTTATGAGATGGATTATTGTTGAAAATATAACATTTTGAGGGATGCAGCTCACCTTAGTCTGTTGGTTCAGAGTTTTGATGACCAACCAAGAGGTCTTAGGTTATGTGTGTGTGATTTTATCTTAATTGACATAAATGTCTCAAAAAAAAATATTTTGAGGGGTCTCAAGGGAAACATACATAAAATGGGGCCATCAAAAGAATTATTTGTCTAATAATGCATCCACAAGTTCTACATAGGGCATTTAACAAAAAGAGTGTAAGTATAATACATATTTGATAGCGTCAACTTCACTCTACATCACGATGTTGATGTTTGCACTCATTATTATGACAAGCTATTTTTGCAGTTGAGTTGAAATTACTATGATAATTATTTGGTTGATAATTGATAATACTATTATAAATCTCGTGTAATTTTTTAATATCAAGGAAGTAGAACCTTCGAGTTTGTCTATTTCTTTTGAGTTAATATGACCATTAACTCGTTCTACATCTTCATGCAATAGCTTTAACTGTTATAAATTGAGAGTGCACACTTAAAAGACTATTTTGGAGGTCCAGAGTGAGTTCAACCTGGGTGATTAATTAGATATTATCGATCATTGATGTTTAAGATATTTAATTAAGTATTAACAAGAATAGACCTAAGAGATTTACTAAGGTCCTAACTCATGTTTAAGAGAGCTATTGAAAACTTTAATAGTTTGTATATATTAGTAAATTGTATTATAAAAAGTTAGAAAGCCCTTGAGGATCATAATAGTGGTGCTTTCGTAAACATCTTTAAAAGAAGTCAACATTGCACAACTTCACTAACAGTAAAGAGAGAGACTATTGATTCAAACTGAATGACATGATCAATCAGATCCATATTGCCATGGTAAACATTGAGAATTATTGAATTAGCATCCTGAAATTTGTTGAAGGTTGATTTGTTGCGATTTGAATTTAAAAAGTATTGGCGGTCCAAAGTAAAAAGTATAACTGGTCTATAAGGAAGAGGAGCTCCTACTACATTTTTCTCTTAGATAGAAGATGCTCCTTAAAATGAAGTCATTGATAGAACAAAAATACTATGATGTCATAAGAGATGATAAAAAAATCTGATCAATTCTATTCTTTCTGGGGAAGAATTAGGGCGCGTTTGGGACGGATGTTTCGCTGCTGTGCTTTACCAAACACAACCGAGAGTTCGTTTGGGACGGACCGATGGCGCTCCGTTCTCGACAATTTCACGTCCCGCGGTTGCTTCTCACACCCGCAAAAATCTTCTGCGGTTCGCTTGCTTCCCGCTGTTCATAGACATCCTAAATACGGTAATGCCCTTACTCGCTCACAAATTTCCTTTATACAAGGCGAATCCTCCGCTTCTCGCTCGGCGATAGGAACGGCGAAGGTTTGCTTTCTTCTTTATTGTAGCTGTCAACTCCCACGCCTTAGGCGTTCGTCTCCGCTGTGAGGATAGTCGGGTGTGAACGAAAGCAGCAGCTTATTGGAAAGATCTTCCTTTACAGTCTCCGATCTTTTGCTTTTGGAGGTTGGTTTGTTAATTGTTTCTCTTCGTTTGTATTATTTTTCGTTTTCTGGAACTCATTCGTTCAAGTGATTGGGGGTTTTCTTCTTGATTTTTGGTTAAAATTTAAAATCTTTGCCAGCTTCAATTTATCCGGATTACTTTATTGGTTCTAGGAATAGATTTTCATTATTTTTTTTTAATTTTTTAGATTTGCTTGATTTTTCTCGCTGGCGTGGAAGGGGTAGGTTGGATTAGGGTTTTTTTTTTCTTTTGCTTGAGCAGCTGGTTGACATTGGTAAAAATATAAATCTACTTTATTGATTATGTGAAAAGTTCTGTATTTTGAGTTTTTGAGGCTTTATTTTTTTCCTTGCTTGATTTGCAGCGAAGGTATTATCTACGATATGGTTTTAATTGTTCAAGTTAAAATACCTCGTTCTTTCTGTTTATAGCGAGGCTAATGCTTTATGCATTAGTGATTATAATACAAGCTGAGCTCTTTTCTAGCGAATGGTTTTGATGTAACTCAATGGGATGGCTGTGAATTATTACTTCTACCAGAAGATTGACATTATTCCTTCAACTTCATGGTTCTCTTCCACATTTGATCCACTTGATTGCCACATGATTTGGCATCAACGAGCTATATTAGAGTGGATAGGTGTTTTCAATTCAAAGGAGCTTCATGTTGTTGATAAAATTTTTTGATATTAATTCAATCTATAATGCATTTGATTAGATTTTATTTCATAAACCAGTTGCCAATGTTTTCGGATTCTTTCTTTCCACGCCCTCTTTATGAATTCACATTCAACATTGTATCGAGCAAGGCTATACATTTTGTTCTAGAAGGATATTACATGAGATCATTTCACAATTGATTGTAGATATCAAAAGTATCTTTGTAACGTGGCATACTTGCAAGTGATGATTCATGGATTACTTTATCAACTATGTAATAATTATTGATCGAATTTGTTTTTACAACTAGAAGGATATTACATGAGATCATTTCCTCTTCTTTTAACCAATAGGCTCCTGTTTATTTTTTCTGCTGGTACTTTTTTATCAAACTGGTAGGATTTGACGGAACATTTAAAAATCTACAGATGTTGGTGATTAATGAAAAGTATAGCATAAATTTCAAAATAAAAGCTTCCACTTACAGCGATTAATAAATTCAATGGGTAAACCAAAGGATGGCGGGCCTTCCGCAACATGGGAGAAAGATGTGAAGATTATATTTTGTGATTTATGTCTAAGAGAGATTGAACTCGGCAATCGACCAACTACACACTTCAATAAAGAGGGTTGGACGAATTTAATAAACCCTAAACTACACACTTCAATAAAATTGCCCAAATATGCTCCACTATCTATTTAGAGCTTTAAGCAGGTTAGAGTTGCTTATTAGACTTGTTTTTGCTTCATTTTCTCTTTTTGTTCGTATTATGAGGCGTGTGCAATGGAAAATTCTTCATTTTGTAAATGCTGCAAAAGTGAAAAACCTGTGACCTGCTCCTATTTTAATTTTTCCTCTTATCTTCTTCAAAACTTGCAACAGAGACCCACAAATTACCCCTCAATCTCCACACCACCGAACATTCTGCACATGGTGTGTTTGTAAATTTTACTGCATTGGTGGAGGGAGATTGACCTTATTTTTTATTTAGTTGCTTCTTTCATTATTTTTTCTAGTATTTATCACTGGTTCTATACACTAATTTAGTATGATTGGTTGGGAGCTTCCAATCGACATATTCTGTTCAAGGTCTTGCAGATGCAATAATTTATTCTAAGATAAAATTTGCTAATTTTTTCTATTGATTAATAAGTTGAACTTATTGTTGTTATGCAAGAGCTTACAACTGGAATGAATTCCGGTCCAGCATTGACCCATTTTGATGACTCTGACTGAAGTTTTGCAAACTCCTGGACATTCAGAAAATTGCAGTTCCATATATTGATCCACATACTGTGATTGCCGGTCACTTTTAAAATGTTATGAGCACATGTATATTTATTTGAATGGTTGTTTTTTATTGTAAGTATTACACATTTCAGGACAATTGCTGTCTTTGCAGTGAACAAATTTTTTTTTTAAATGTTGCTGCAGGTTATGTTTTTAGGCCATTTGTCATACCATTTCTCATGCTTGTACTTGGTATTTCTTCCAATATTGTTGAATGAATATTTGAATTTATCATTAATTTATTGAATTGTACGTGACATTGAGAATGCGTTACTTAAGAAAATTTGTTACGTTAGAAAATTTGATGTGCAAAGCAATTATTGGAAGAAGTTTAGCTTAAATTTTTGCTCTTTAAGCATTCGGTTGATATAATTTTTTAACAAAGATCAATCAAAACATATTTTTATTATTATATGAAAAAATATTTTATTATAAAATAATAATCGAGAATCTATAAAAACATAACAAATTTATTTGAAGTATGATTAGAAAAAGTTAAGTTAAAATTTTATAGTATTTTGATATATAAACTTATTAAAGATTTGATAAAATTAATTAATTTTAATTCATAAATGTTAGTTGATTATTATATTTATCTAAATGTATAAAAGGGTATCAAGGTAATTTGTTGTCATACAGCAGCAGCACAGCAACTCGACAGTTATACCACTCAAACAAAATGTATTGATTTTTTTAAAACAACTTCAAGAAGCAACTTTCTGTACAACAATTTCACAACCTACTTTACCGACAGCTGCAGCCGTCCCAAACGCACCCTTAGTTGAGCATATCATTGCAAATGCTTGAAACTTTCTTGAATTATTTTTTGATCAAAATATCTTCCATTTTATTGAGTTATTTAGAAGTGAAGAGATCCTTTGCTCATCCTATGACATTAAGTGCATATGACTTCTTCTTTTTTATAAACAAAGTGCTTCTATAATCTTATTGAAGTTAATGAAAAATAATGAACTGATCGAATAGTAGAGTTCAATGCTCATCTCCTAGCCGTTTAAGCCACTAGCCGTTAAGGATGGGTCAGAAAAAAGCCAAATTCTCCTCGTATTAAAATCTCTAGCCTAGTTAGGTGCATGTATGTTAAACATGTCATTCAATCATTGACATACATCACATGGTCATGTGTGCATGCCACATGGAACTCTATAATAAGCCATTAGCTCTCGTAAATCCTTTCTCCTTCTTAATTTAGAGAGAAAATACAAAAGAAGAACTGCTAAGAATTAGTTGAAAGGAGAGAGGAGAGGTATTTGATTTCCTCTTCTCTTTCTCTCTCTCTAAGAATATTATAATGCTGCACTGAAATAAATGCAAGCTAGCCCAATAAATGAGCTGCATCGAGAATCGTGCTTGACAGGCATAATAATGATTAGGAAAGGGGATGCATGCAGCTTATGGTGTCACCTTCTTCAAAAGCTCTGTGGAATTATGCGTCTTTCTACTGTGATTAGTTATTATAGCTTTCTGAACTTTTCATGGCTCACATTTTGATGAGTTTTGGCTCTCTGTTCGGTGTTGCAGCGTCTCAGTCAGACAGGCAAGATTGGATTGGGAAAAAGATTGCAAGAGAAGACAATGGAGAGGCTGTGGAGATGGTCAGAGCCTTTTGTAGTCAGGAATTCTTCAGACTGCAAGGCATTGGTCGGTTGGCCGATAGAGTTATGAGCGTAAAAACTGAAGAAATTTTTTCTCATCAAATCGAACTAATTAGACAAATAAATTTATATTTGATATTTTGCAATTTTGATAAGCTGAGTTCTTGAAAATTTAAATATATTTTAAAATGAATATAATAAATAAATGATCAAATAAAATTTATTTCGTATTTATATTAAAGTAGATTTAAAGGCGTACTATTAATATTCATATTAGAGGTTCATTTGAGATAGCTTTTTACTACTCAGCTTTTTAATACAAATTTTTTGAAAACAACAAAAAAATAATCATTAAAAAATGTTCCAAATGAAGCCTATGATCACTTGATAGAGCTTAATTTTTTATCTTAAAGGATGTATTAGGGTGGATTCTTAGAATCTTTTATTTTTTTAGTGTTTAATTTTGTGATTTTTACTGAAATCATTTGTTTTTTTTTATTATTTTAGGATTAAACTTTTTTTTGCTGAAGAAAAAAAAAAAAATTCAAGGGAATAAAAATAATTATAATTTAAAAGTTTAATCAAAATATTCCAATTGAAATATTTTTAGTTAGAAAATTATCTCTACGAGACCAACATCTTATGTCCATAATTATTTATTTTCAAATAATGCAAAACTATTTAATACTAAAATAATAAACTTATATATATATATATATATAAGCTGCAGGGCTCGAAACAGTGTAGGTGATAGGTTGGGTTATAGCTACCAGTTCTTATTGCTTAGGAAACTGTTCAATCAGAATGGTTTGGCTTCACACCGCAGAAGTTCATTTTACTATCCAACAGAACTCAGCTTATCAAAAAGCAGTTTTCAAGAACTCAGCTTATCAAAATTTATGAAAAAGCAATTGATATATATATATATATATATGGAGATGCACCTTCATTCCCCTAGAATAAAAACTTTCACATCGTAAACTCGCGCATCCATACAGTGAATATGGAGAAAAAATATAATAAGGTCAACATAAAGAGGGATATAAGAGTCATCAAAAATTTTATGTAAAAATTTGAAGTAAAGAGAAAAAACATAGTGTCGGGCTCAATTGTAATGATTACACTAGTATTTGCTTCAAGTATAAATGATGTCCTTTACTGTAAAGTGTTAATATAATATAATAGGGTAAACTATATATAACTATTCCCCTCGATGGGGTTGAAAAAGCCTTGTAGCATGAAAGTTGTTTACGAGAACTATTTTTATTGCTTGCTTTGTTGTTCTCTTATGTGTAGGGGATCCCAAAGATCAAGAAATCTAGCATAAATTTGTACTAAAGTTGGGTGAATGATTTGATGTCAATTGTGTGCATGCATCGACCTTAAATGTGATGGTGTGCATCAATACTATTGGTGATAGCGAGTGATTAAGTCAGCAACATCGTTGTTGTTAGGCAACAATGTATAGAAGATTGTAGTAAGGTGATAATTGTTAGGAGACCGTAGTCAGGTGACATTAGTTTGGAGACCGTAGTCAATGGCGGAACCACTTGGTTCCTAGGGGGGCAATTGCCCCCCCTCAAAAAAAATTTTATAAGAGAGTAAAAAATTTAGCCCCCCCCCCCCAAACCCCCCCCCCCCCCAAATATTGTTTTGGTCAGGAGGTCATAGTTTAATGACAATGGTTGAAGATCGGTAAGTGAGTGGCCATGATCAGAGGATTGTAATCGTGTGGTAATAATTGTAAATTCACAATTGACTGATCAATAGTGGTCGAAGAATCGTAGTGTGGGGATGCTGGAGGTTTTATTGCGGTTGTTTGATTGCGGTGATCGAGTGGTGGTCCATCGACATCAATTGGATGGTGAACCTGTGGGACTCCGAGATTCTTCAAGTTTCTAAACTCACTTAAATCTCAAGCAAGCGATGGCCCTCCCTTATTGATTCTCTTAATTATAAATCATTTTTTCAGCATTTAGGTGCCTTAATAGTGTCATAATTAGACAATCTTGGGCTCATTGGATTTGCCACATTAAGATACTCAATTTGAATATAAGCATGTAAGCTTTAGAGATTATTTGGCCATCTAATTAATATCCTTAAAGTTTTAATCAGGCTTAAAGTAATTGATTTTTGAACTCATTTAAGGTCAGATTGCATTATATTTAATGTTGATGGATTTCTATCATCGAGATGCATGCTTAGTTAGACTATATAATTGTTGATACCTAAATTCGGATGAACATTTTTTTTTTTTTTTTGAGAAAAATTTCACTTTAAATATGCATTAAGATTCAAGCTCAATCAAAGGCATATCAACAACATAAAAATTATTATATATTTTAATATAAAAATATTATACATTCTTATTAATTGAGAAAATATTAAATATATTAAATCTTTATGAACTTTTATCGGAGGAGCTTTTAATATAATTTTTTGTCCGCATTTGGAGAGGACAGTGGTCGTGTTGTTCATGCTCTTGTCAAATGGGGGTCCAATGCAGAGATATATAGTCTCTCGTTGGGTACAATAACAGTAAAAGAGGCTCCTGCGTCCTGCCTGCCATATACGTCCAATATAACCCATAACTCTCATATAAGCGTTTGTTTCTTAATTCTTCTACCGTTTATTTCAAACCCCCCATAACTCTCATTCTAACCGTTGAAAGGGACACTATTCATAATTTTTATCTGTTGGAGCATTTAGTTTGTCAGTTGGAGCCTTTAGGTAGCTTTCAATACTTACTGTCATTTTTTTTTATTGCTTAGTGCTCTCTCTCCCCTTAAAGATAGGATACGATATGAGCATATGCGTGAAAAGATTGTAGTAACGCCAGTGGAAGATAAGATTAGAGAGAGTCAGTCGCCTTAGATGGTTTGGCCACATAAAACGGCGGCCTTCCAATGACCCGGTTAGAAAAGTAGAGGTATTAGATTTGACTTGTACGTGTTAAGAAAGGTAGAGGTAGACCTAAAAAGACTTGGTTAGAAAATATTAGAAATGATCTTTTTTATTAGATGTAAATGAGAATTTGACTTTTAACATGACACAATGGAAAAAAAGAATTCATGTAGCTAACCTCATATAGTGGGACAAAGGCTTGATCTTGTTGTTGTTGTTTGTTAGTGCTCTCTCTCATTATTTTGCACATCAAGGTTGAGTCCATTTCTTGCAATTTTATGTTTTATCATTGGATAGCTCAATCAGTTTTTAAAATTTTAATTAAACTGTATGCTGCAGCTTTCAACAATCTCAAAAGAAGATTACATAGAAATTGCAAGTAATTACCTCCTAAAAAATTGGTAATGTCATAGTTAACAAGGCTTTCGAAGAAGTGTTTGAGATATATTAGTTAGATAGCAAGATTAACATAAAGAAAGACTGCAAAATTTGGCAATCCAGACCTGCCATTGATCTGTATATTCTAATAGCAACCTGCTTCATGCGGAGCATTTTAGTTATAGTATTAGGAGTAGTTTATTTAAGTTTGTTACAAGCTTGTTACTAGTTCTAGAATATTCTTAAAAATGCTCCTTCTGA